AAAATAAAAACAAAACTTTACTGGATTCGTGTTCAGCATGCATTACTCTTTAGAATCACTTACTTTGAGATTCGAAGACACAATATATAATATTTAAGATATTACAAATTTTCGACGCGCAAAAAGTTTTACTTTTGACCTCCGAACGTTTGCCTTGATAAGAATCACAACATGGCACATAATCTTACTAAACTACGTTGGTCACATGGGCACCATAAGCCGTGCTTACAGTATTAATGGCGAGTTCACATAACATACAGATTTCGAGATAATTGCAATGACGACTCCGCCCCGGTGACAACTTCACCCCAGTCTCCCCTACGAATAAATCTATTTGAATAAAATTTTTATATTTTCCTAAAAAAATACATTTGTGTGTATACCTAAAGAAAATTTTGGAGAAATTTATTTAAAGTTATTTTTTTTGTCAATTTAAAGTCAATTTATTTAAAGTTAATTTTTGCTATACGTAAATTATATAATATTTATTATGTTACTAAACAAACTATATTTTTTTTCTCCAAAAGACTATTCTGTAACGCAAAAATTTAAAAGAATCTGAAACTTTGCGTAATTATATTCTATATGTATATTAAGATGTCCTAACACTTCTAACAATACAATGATTTTTTATTTGAGCTAAAAAATAATTTATTATCCGATTTTTATAAACATTATACAGGATAAATTTTATTTTGTGCACCAATTATCTCTCGACCAATTATCTCAGAAAGTATTTGGAAAAATGTTTAAAATAAAAGTTAAAGGTTTCAGAAGGGATCAATAAATCGGTTTTATTAGATTTTAGGTCTAGGGTCAGTGTTGAGCCCAGTTAAATTTTCTAAATGGAAATAAAGGAAAAAGTGATACAGGACCTTTTAACTTTATTTGATCTCAAGATTACGCTGTTGCAAAAGTTGGGGTACTGTTGCAACAGTATATTCTTGAGATACAATTAAGTTAAAAAGTCCTGTACCACTTTTCCTTCTCGACGAACAATTATCGAGATATCTTGTAAGCTAAATATTGAAAAGTTGCCAAGTTTTCCTTGAATATCTCAAAAGTATATGTAAGGCAAATAACGAAATGTTTCTGACAAAAGTTATTCACATTAAGTAATAGAAAGAAATACAATAAAATGATACAATAAAATATGGAGATTTTTATTTAAATTTTACTTGAGTCTTACTGGGCCCAACACGCGCGCAGCAGACCCAAAATCTAATAAGATTGTTCATTGGCCCCCTCTGAATCTTCCAACTTTTATCTGAAACGTTTTTCTAATAAACCAAATCTTTCTGAGATAATTGACGGAGATGATTGGCACACGAAATAAAACTAACACTGTATTATAGTCTTACGTAAAAAATTTAAAATATGTATTTTTTTTACCAGAATCTATACGAAATATTATATTATTAACTATATCTACTAATTTGGAACAAGAGAAAAAATATCTACAATTATTAGATACCACCTGATTCTCATTGAAAGAAAAATTTTATAAAACATTTGCAAATTTTTCTGATATTATTATGCTTTTACATTTTAAATTAAATTTAATTTGCAAAATCTTATTTTAAAATTATAATCGTTTAAAATTATGATTTTCAATATATCACAAAGATACAATCCGTTTTTTATATTATAAAAGGTTGTAATGCATGTATGTAATATACATATAAAGGTTATTTACGTAATTAGACTTTACATATTGCTACGTATTTAACATCGTTGCATGTATTGTAAGAACTTACGAAGAAAAAAAATATATATACGTGGTCTGTTTAAAAAGTAATAAAACTGAATTTTTTTCTCAATAACTATAGTAACACTGTCAAAACGAAACTACAGTGGATCGAAAGCTACAATCATACTCTACTTTTAATTAAAATTTCAAGTCGATAACAATAACTTGTGATTCTACAATCATTTGATTTGTATAACTGTATGCTTGGATGATGCGTCATGAAAATGGAACACAAGAAAATCGAGCAGCGTTATGCGAAGTTTGACATAGCAAATTCTGTATCAAATTTCAGGATAACGTGACAGAGAAACATTTGAGAAGTTGACAGTGGTTTGAATCACCAAATTGTTTATGTCATTGTTGGTCCAGAACGGGATTCATCTTTATAACTTCACCGTCATCTAAAAATGCGCGCCTTGTGCCGGGTATAGAATTTGATCTCTGTAAGTCTGTTTCAACTTCTTAAATGTTCCCATCGCATTGTCCTGGAGTTTGACATATAATTTGGTTACATAACGCTGTTGGCTAATCGATCTTATGGCGTCACCCAAACATACTGTTATACAAATGATTGTAGAATCACAAGTGTTAATGTTATCAACTTGAAATTTTAATTGAAAATAGAGTATGACTGTAGCTTTCAATCCACTGCAGTCTCGTTTTGACAGTGTTACCAGTTGTTGAGAAAATAATTCAGTCTCATTATACTTTTTAAACAGACTACATATGTATATAAACTGTAAACCATCATCAAACAGCACTGGGTAAAACTAGTATAGATAGTGTACGTCCTTATCTTATCTTGCAAAAATAAATACAAGAATTATCTTATATTTTGCAACACAACTTTATGATACATGGTTGAATATGGTGCAATATAAACTTTAATATAATTTTATAACTTAAAGGTTTTTTTATAATGTTCAAAAACAATAACGAGTGTTGAGGGCATTTTTGAATAATTAAGATACACTATTGTAAAATACATTTAAAATGATGAAATTTTTATTTAAGCTATTTTTTCATACCTCTTCTCGTTTCGATGACATTTACTTAGAAATGCAAAAATCGATTCTCTTTAAAGCGTCATCTACAATACACAGAGTAAGCGTAGAGTAAGGAGTAAGAGTAGGCAGGAGTAAGCGTTATAGCCTGTTGCGTCCTGATTGTCCAAGCGTAAGTGTAAGAGTAAAAGTAGAAGTAGAGGAGTAAAAAATAAAATTAATTTATTTTGCTTACGCCCTTACGCCAGCTCTCTTAAACCGAAAATAGCCCTCTTACGCCTACTGTTACTTTTTACTCCATGCTTATTCCGTGTATCGTAGACGACGCTTAAGAGTAGAATATTTTTATTCCTAAAACCGCTTTGTAGCAAAAAAAAATTATTTTGTGTTATTAGAACTTAGATAATACGTTTTGCATTAACCGATAGCGATACTATTGTACGCGTGCATATCCGATATTGTAATCAGCCCATTGCGATACCGCGTCGTTGCGTTCACATTAACTTTTATATGAGTCACTGAAGAGGGCCCGATTAAGGGCCGAAACGTTTGATTGATCTTAATGTTTTAATGTTTTGACTGCAAATATAATTTTTCCGCATATTCGATCCTGCGTCGGCTCTCATAGCCAATTATTTCTTAACTTGAACTTAGATAACACATATATAATTATGCAAAGTTTCACGTTGTTTCATTAAAAAAACAATGTTTTAGGTAAACAAATTATTTTGTGTTATTTGGACTTAATACTCTACATATATAATTATGCAAAGTGTGACATTGTTTCATTAAAAACGATGTTTTAGGTCAAAAAATATTATTTTACATAGAATAAGGAATACATTATTATTTTCTGATGTTATATTCAATCTCACTGCTTTGGGAGGCAAACAGAAAGAAGATACAAATTTGGTGTATTCTCTTACTGATGAGGTATATGGTAATTATATTTGTTAACATTTTGAGTTATTTTGTCCATTATGTAATTTATTATTATACAGATGATACAGCAACGCATACGTAAACTAAATAATCCGGATATACTCGAGAATGAAAATAATCAAATTTGTAAGTTTATCACCATTTTTTACATAAAATATGATCTTTATGAAAATGCAGCGTTTGCAAAATGACAGCAAAATTAATTGCTCAAAGCTGTCTTTAAAGCAATATTAAAATGCTATGTTTTACTTTATACATCGTACGTGTAAGAAATCGTTTTTTCCTAAATTTAATTTCAATTTTTAAGTAGGAAGTATACAATTTAATCTTAAAGTTTACTAACACAAGATTAAATAAGTAATAAACATCTTAATTCATATTCATACTTTTCGTTATATAATATAGATAGAACGTGCTTCGATATCCTGATGGAAGCATTTCCCAAAGAAAATTTCACGTCAAAGCAGATTCGCGATATTGTAATAACGATGCTATTAACGGTACGTACAATACTTCATGATATTTATAAATAAATAAATATTAAAATAGTTATGTACCCATAGGCCAGTGAATCAATCAGTATTGCGATGAATTTTGTTATCTTCATGTTAGCAAATTTCCCAAAAGTACAAGTATGTATGTTTATTCCAAGACAATTAAATTTACTAATTAAATAAACGAAGCGTTGTAAACTGATAATTTTAAAATATAAAAGATAATTAAATAATAATCAAAACAACATTTTTTTATTATATTTATTATTTTATTATAATATTTATTATATCACGTTTGTTGTGATGTTTATCACCGTTTTGAATGAACCATTATATTATTATAGGTTTGTTGTTAACCTAATTTAACTTGTAATTGTATAAATATTTACAAAAATATCTAAGCTTATAAAGAAATTAAGTTAATTAACATCAGCCTTATATAAAACGTATATTTAACAATTTTTTGTATGTTTGTATTTGCAATATGCATAATATTTTATTAAGATTAAACATTTTAATAGAATTATGCAAATATCTAGATTAACATATATTAATAGCATCACTTCGTTTATGACTAGAATAAAATCCAAATGCAATTAATAAAAAGTCTATTAAATATTATTTGCATTTATGTAAATAAATATTTCACGTCATAAAGGAAAAAGTACTCGAAGAACTATTGGAAATTTATGGTACAGAAACGATAAAATCTGTACCAATTAAATATGACGATTTACAAAAGATGCATTATTTGGACCGAGTTATTAAGGAAACAATGCGCATTTTCCCTGTTATTCCTATAATTGGAAGACAAGCCAAAGAAGATTTAAAAATAGGTTTGTTTACTTTTTATAAATATAAGCAAATGTATATCTATTGTTAACTTCTCTTCATAAATAAATTAAAAATAATAAGAAAATTGAGAGATACAGATGTCAAAACATCAATCTTCATTTAACTATTATTTGATTTTATATTAAGAGAAACTGTGTTTAAATATTTTTCTGTTACTAAGATATTTATTTCGATATTTAAAAAATTGCAAAATTACAAATGATATTATTCTTATTTTACTAACTGTAAGATTAAAAAATAATAAAATATAGACATTCAAATATTCTATATGAAATATCGCTTTGTCAGTTTTATGTACATATTTATTATATAATAACAATTTTGAGTTGTACTATTTAACATTATTAAGTTTTTATTGTAGTAATTTTAGTAATAAAAAAGTACATATTTTAGGAGAAGTTATTTTACCAAAAGGAACAAATATTTTCATACCAATTATTAAAATGCACCGAAACGAAAAATATTGGCCGAATCCATTAATGTTTGACCCGGACAGATTTCTTCCAGAAAGAATAAAAAGTCAATCGTATTATTACATAGCTTTTAGTGATGGACCAAGGAATTGCATAGGTAGTCTTCAATAAATCACAAAGTATTATGATAAAATTGATTTACATATAATTGCAAATTTACAGGTATGAAATACGCAATGATGTCTATGAAAGTTATCTTAGCAACGTTGGCACGAACATTCGTATTCAAAGTAAATAAAAGCGTTAAGATTGATGAAATAAAATTGAAGTTTAGCTTGACAATATCTACAGAGAAGCCTTTAAAAGTCAAACTTGAGAAGCGGTATTTCCAATAAAATAATGTAAGTATGTATGTAAAGATTATGTTAAATATAAGAGATTATATATTTTTGTACAATATTCTTCGCACGCGCGCGCATATATTATGTTGATGCATACATTAGGTTGGCTTCAATTTAATATTTTTTTTACTTTGTATAATATTGTAAGAAGTGGAATGTAACAATAAAATGTATTGAAGTAAATCTCTCTCTCTCTCTCTCTCTCTCTCTCTCTCTCTCTCTCTCTCTCTCTTTCTCAAGATTTTTAGCTTTTATTAATTTTTAATGCGTTTAATTCTTAACAAAACGATTAATTTATTATTTTAACTTATGACTATAATTCATGTTTTTAGAAACTAAAAAACTTTGTTACTATTCTCAACGTGAATTTTAGTTGCATATTTTGTTTTCATGAGTAGTTATTTTGTTCTTTGTATTTTATATGTATGTATATATACCTATATAATGACCAACAAATCGGTACATTCATTGACTCTATTTATATTGGATTTCATTTTTAAGTATGGTCACGCTTTATAACAACGACGAAAATTGTCATAACTTTTTGATTACGACTTGTAATAATTTGTATACCGCCGAAATAATTGACTTTTTATATTTATGGCTTATTATCAGCTTTTTTGCGTAGGATGGGAAAAATGTTAGCATACCCTGAGGACCGTTCCCCAGGAGTTATGTGGGGCTTGCACCCACTAAAAAACCCACCCCTCTGACAACCAGCCTCTGGTGTGCCAAGGACTTGGAGATGCACTGCGAAGTAATACGTCATAATAAAATCATCAGCTATTGTATCTCCCAATCTTTGTTTCGATATAATGTATTTGTTCCCGACAAATTATTTAAATTATTTAGTTATGAGACTAATTTTATATTTCTGTATAATTTTTTCATATTCATTGTAATGTAATTTTATTGATTTGACCCAGAATGTTCTGATGAAAACTAACATAAGTATATGTCAAAACGTAAACGATTGTTAATTATTCTTGCCATTTAATAAAATATTTTTATTTTTATTAAACCAACATATATTTCTTGTATTTTTTTTAGCATAGACGTATATGCTCGGAAATTTTCTATAACCTTCATATTTTAGTTATTTAATAATTTAATTTCCGAGATCCAAGATTGGCTCTCCCGAGATCTTTCTCAGTTTCTTATATTCGTACGAGGAGCGCATTTAACGCACGTAGGAGCGGAACGGGCCCGCGCGCGCGCGCGGGGGGCCCATTGCGTGTTCTAGGACGTGTAATAAAGCGCCGTGCTCTATCTATCCGTGGCGAAGTAACGTTGGGAAGGCAACGGACCTCGGAACAGGTGTGCGCGTGTGTGCGTTGTTGTATGTTACTCGCAGGCGAGGATATCACAACGGGCCCCTCGGGCCCCCCGGGCGCGCGCGCGCGCTCACGTATTCATGAGGTCGCACAGAGCTCGTCCCGGGCCGCCTGCCGTTGCCATCGGTCACGGCTGGCCGGCCGGAGTTCCGGGGCCCACTTCCGGACACTCGCGCGCGGCACCGGTACGGTCTCGTTTTCAGCCGGGAATATCAGGCGTTATTCGCAGTGTACAGTTAGCCGTCGCGCATCATACGCGAACGCGGAGAGCTCGCGCGCGTCCTGCTCCTTCGCGCGTGTCCCTTCGCCGAGGTAAGGAGGCGGTTTAAATGGGCCCCGGCCTCTCCGTGCCGCGAGATATACCGGAGAACAATGGACTTCCCCAGGCGGGTGAGTGAGATCCATTCCGTTTCGCGAATCCTTCCGACTTCGATGATCTCGCCGGAGACGCGGGGAACGATGTTTTTCAAGGAAGATCCTTGAACGGCGGAACCGGATGTCCTTCGATCCTTGGATTCAATTTCCGATAAATGGAGAGAAAGAGAGAGAGAGCCAAATGTGACGAATTTGGAAACAATTCTGAAGAATTATACATAATTAATAATATGATAATTATGTTAATTGAAACAAAGTCTTTTTCGTTCTTTGCGAGTAATGTTTATTTTTGAGAGATATTTATTTTACTTCTAACTTCTTTTTTTTTTACTTTTCTGTAAAAGTTTTAATTAACGGATGAGTTTATTTTTAGCCTCGGGTTTCTAAAAGATTTCTGAAAGATGTCGAATTTCTTTTTTAAGTTTTAATTAATAAGTTATTAAATTTTCTACTCCCGCTCTCGTTTCTGCTCTGTTTAATGCTCTCATGTTTAAGTAAATAAAAAATTCATGACTAAAAACTAAAATACACAGTTGCAAATAAGACGGAATTGTTGAATATTAATTAAAAGGAAGAAGATTACTTCTCAGTGTTTTATTACAATCTTGACCGCTTAAAGAAAGCATGATAAATCAATATAAATAAATAAGGACATTAAAATAAGCGTAAGAAAAGTACGCTGTTAAATTCGAAACGTCAAATTATACTCAATTTGAGTTTTAACCATTGTTGTAGGTCGCTACTTCTTAATAGTCGATAAGATACATCGACATTTATTTAACTAAATCAATGGAATTAAAATAATACTGTTTTGTATTAAATTAATGAACTTTGACACACATGGTGGTTAACACTAATAAATTATTTAACTAAAGGTATTGGTTCAAATTTTATCTTTTAATATTTGATAGCGTGTATTAATTATTTAAAAAAATTCAAACAAAAAATGATATACATTTTTTGAAGAATAATACATTTTAATTATTGAAGAAGATTGCATAAATAAAGCACGAATTATTTGTAGATGACTAAAGAAGAGACTGTAATACAGATAATTCTTTTTTTATTTTATATTTACTAATACTATTTTGTGTTAAAATAATCACTCGTTATCGAGATCTTAACATCTCGCGTACTCGCAACCCGTCGCGTAAAAGAGTCACGGTCGGTCTCGCTCCGCGTGTACTTGGCACGAGACACTACCGTGTTTCTTGATAAATTTGGTAGTTAAAAATAATAAAATTTTATTTAACAAGATAGTGATT